AATTGCGACAATATTCTGAGAAACGTAACGCCTTAAAAAGCCACAAAATCCTGAGGATTTCCCCGCTATAATATTTTCTCATCCTGCTTGGGGATGTGCCTGCATGTCGTCCATAATTACACGAAAATCAAGGGCCTCCATTCGAGGAAAATTACGGCATTGCCAAACTTACATGCGTCATTTCAGTCATCGCCGAAATAAACTGCATTCTCATCACGAGACTCATTTCCATACAATGAAAGTCGTCATGATTCTTATCCCCAGTTTCCACGGTCTTCGCTAGGAACGCGGGGTCTACAAACTAGGTCCCACCGCCAAAAAAAAAAAAAAGACGATTGCATTTTAAGATTCTCGCTTTGCTCAAGCAAGCGAGACTAATGAGGCAAGCAGTGTCTCCGTGAAATAACACGTTTGTTTAATGGACCACTGTACACAAAGTGCTATAATTAGAGATAGGGTTAGTTAAAACACCCTATAGCTCAGTGTTAAAATACTCTTATGCTTATACATCATTTTGGATCGAGTTTTAGTCCACTTAGGCTTATCTACGTATGGACACACACGATAGTGACCAAAAACTGAATCTGTTGGAACAGCGCAAGAAAACACTGCCGGATTTTACGCTGGCGATTACTTTTCAAGCGAGAAAGGACTATATTTGCCAGAAAGGTGTCGTTGTACAATTTATGTTGAAGTTTAGTAGGTGAATTACGTTTAGCTTTCAGAGCTTTTGTGTGCTACTGTCCCTGTTAAACTTGATAAAAGGCAAAAAGAGCTGCAGTTGAGAAGAGCAAAGCTCTTATCATGACCTAGTGCCCTTCTCTGCTAGCAACTGAACTTGGTGATGGACCACTGTTTGGGGAACTTGATGATGGCGATGGACTGATTCCTGAAAAAAAATATATATATATATTAAGGTAACGGATAAATAAAACTCGTAGCCTCGGCTAAGCCTAGGCACGGTTCATAAGTGACGTTATTTCACTGAAACAACCATCTTTTCTAATTTTCTTTTTTTATTCCGAGAAATACATGCATAGAGCAGCTGAACTTTAAGCTTTTAGCTGAACGCTTACCTCATCAATGAGCAAAATTTACCCAAAACTTGAAGAAATGACGAAATAGGGCATTATGACGTCTTGTATTTCTGACAAAAAAAACTCCTCATCTTTTAGTCTAAGTTCTCCTATAAAATCTGTTTATTTAAGGAAGGTATAAAAAAACAACTTGGAAGAGTGCCTCAGTACAAACAGCCAAACACCTAGTCGAAGGTCCAAAATGCTCTGTTACGCGCAGTTTATTTATTTATTTATTGTTTTTCAGTTAATCTTAATATTACCGTAGACTCGTTTCAAAACGTTTCAGTTACACGTACAAAGTACCTGTTTGTAAGACTGGGATGATGTCTTTGTTACAGTCATCACTGGTGCAACACTCGACTGCGCATTCCAGCTGGGTCAATTTTTGCCTTCTGTCTCCCTTGAAAAAACCGCCCACAGCCGCACAAGCCGCTTTCTTTATCTGTAATCATCGGTCAAAAAAGAACAAAAAAAGTAGACTTCTGTTGAAGTCATTAAAAGGGAATAATACCAAAAAACTTTTATATTTGTTTTAGCTTCTGCCTTCGGCATGAGAACCTCCTGTCTCGCAACCTTAATGAATTAGCTACAATCAACTCTTTCTAAGGCGGAAACTTAGTGTCCGTCTTAGCTTGGATTTCCACTGTCGCGTATTTTTTCCGTGCGTTTTACGCACGTAAATTTTACGCGGGTGAATAAAATAGAGACAATGTATGAAAGGTCGCTTGTAAGCGTAAAAGGTTGAATCTCGCTCAACTTCTCGTTTAAGCTCAGCACATTTTATCTTGCCTCAATTTTATTTACGTGATTAAAAGTTACGTGCGTTAACGTGCGTAGCCGAAAACGCGTCAATGGAAAATAAGCAACCTTTTGAGAGATGTCCGTCTTATAGAGAGTCAAATAAAGGGAGTAGAGAAAGGTAGGGACCAACTCTAGGTGTCCGTTTTACAGCGACGCCATCTTATAGGGGTATCTGTTAAAAGAGAAACACTCGTGAAGGCAAAAACACAACCAACAACTGGTGAGAGTCAGCCGGATCTTTAGTAGACCTGGACAAGAGCCGTTGAGTGATAAGCTCCAAAAATTACAGAATCGTGCAGCTAGAGTTATTACTAAATCACCCTTTGATGCGAGCTCAAACCACCTTCTCTCCACCCTCAGCTGGGAGAGGCTATCTCTTCGACGAAAGAAACAAAAAGCCTTAATGATGTATAAAACCATGCATGACCTTGCTCCAAAATATCTACAAAATCTTTTCTCTCAGCGTCACTCTGCTTACAACTTAAGAAACTCTGAGGGAAGGCTGACGCTGTCCAAACCAAACACCAATTATTTGAAACGAAGCTTCTCTTACAGCGGGGCCATGTTATGGAATAACTTGCCCAAAAACTTAAAAAACGCTGCATCCGTTGAGCATTTTAAGCGAAATATCAAGAAGGTAGCTGATATATCGGATTCCCACACGGCAATCATGTAAAGCAGTTGTAATTAGTTTTAGTTTTTAACTTAAGCTTAACTGATGATTTCCCGTGTTTAAATAAAGATTTACATACATACAAACAGTTTACCGGAAACTGTTTCCGAGTGGTCCGCATAGTTCTAAAAATAACTTTTTTGAAATTAAGATATCCCAGCCAACGCCCTTAGACTCTCTCTCTGTCCTATTATGGCTCTTGACCTGGATCAGTAAAATCTTGACTACCAAATTTTAAACTTAAAACAGTAAACAGATCCTTACGGCAGGAGAAGTGATAGAAAAAATAAAGAAAGAAAACAAAAATAAAGTAATGAATTATGTTTGCAAAATATAATGTTTTAAGTTTAAAATTTGTTAAGAGAGAGTCAACTGTAAATATAATTCCTGCCCAAAAACAACGTTTTGTCTATTGCATTGCCAATATTGGAATATTCTCACACATCATCTGTTGAGTAAAAACTGAGTGTAAAAAATCTACGTTTCAGCGCCATTGTAAAGCCATCGTCAATATGCGAACTTATTTTAGTTTACGAGTTTCAAGTCTCGAATTAATCAGAATAATTAGCGTAACAACAATCATTCTGGGCAAAGGGTAAAATTATTTTTCCTACCAGCACAGTTAATGCATCCCCGAACAAAGGTATCCACGATATTTCCTTTGCTATCCTGATATTTACCCACTGCAGCACCACAGTGAGAAGTACCGAGTGAAAATGAATCATTGGCGCAAATCTGGGTCCGCCGTCTCTTTGAGCGCGAGCAGCTGGTCGCATTATTTCCTAGACATGAAAAACACTGTTTCGGACCAGAAGCTAAAAGAATGAAAAAACAAAGAAAACAAAACGCGACCGTTAACTATTAATCAATAATGTAAAATAAGGGACGACCGTTGGAAATTGGAGAGAGAGAAGGGGGGAGAGAAAGGGAGAGAGAATTAATAAATTTTAAGGTAAAAGGTAAGATCACTCGAGGTGTCACCTTTTTTGATCACCTATATATGTTAACTCATTCACACTATAGCTATCTTCACACTATACGGGGTAACATTTCGTGCCGACGCGAAAGTCTATTCGGTATATCATGAAAACCTATCTGATATGTGAGTCAGTCTCTTTTTTCGAGATCGGCGCGGTGCAGCTTTGCTCAGTTAAAGGGGCTGTGTCATGGCAGTCCAGTTCATTTTGTTTAATTTTGCCAATTACTCACCCTCAATCGCTCTGGAGTAAGCAAAGAAATCACATGGAAATGACAAAATCAGAGATTCGAGACAAACAAATATGCCTCCTGAGCATTATTTTTGAAGTTGCAAACAGCAGAGATCAACTTTGAAAGACTGTTAGGCTGAACTGTTTTCAAAAACGCTAATTTAAATCCGTTTCAATCTGCTTCAGTTTTGCCCATCCGTGGCATCTGTTCTATCTGTTGTGTTATTTTAACGTTCCTTTAATGTTTTAAGCGGTTATTTTTATGTTTCTCTTAATTTAACGGGCATTTTGTAATTTCTTAATGAATTTCGTGACACAGCTCCTTTAAGAGACATCGCGCCGAAATCGTCGTTCCGCCTTGTTCTTATGAGTGAACAGAAGCCATAGCCGGTAAATTATCCGGTATGGTTTTCAAGCCGGCAAAAAAGCTCTGCGGTATAGTGTTAGCATAGCCTAAGTCTCCTACTAATACATCCAGACTACTTTCTCCCTTTTCTCATGCGCCTTTTCTATCTCTCTTTCCTCTACCAAATTAGACAGATTACATTACTTCAGTTTTTTAAGAACTACAATCCTCTTTGCTATGCACTACATAAGTAAACAGAGCCTTGTGCATGACTAGCCCTTGGTTGGCTCGCAGGTGAATAGTGTTCATTTACTTTTACCTTTTCATGTTTTCTTTCTTATTCGTCTCTTTTATTATCATGGTTATGATTATTGTTATTGTTACTCTCGCGAAGCGAGTGGCCGTAAGTCCGCGAGCGAAACGAGTTTATAAATTTGTAGCGCATGCAGCGCGCGGCAACGCGCACAACAATCGCTAAGCGAGGCGTGATCTTGCTTTGGTCAAAAATGTCTCTCTCTCTCTATCGGTTTGGGCGAACGCAGGTGCCAAGCAACAAGACAGCATGTAAACAAAACCGCCACAAAACTTGCCCGGTTGCTTTAGCCGCCATTTAAGAGGACAAGAAATGCCATTGGTGATAAATTTCGTACCTTTAACAGAAAATGGATGTGATTTGGACCATTAACTTCAAAATAACAGCGGAAATCGGGAAAAGAAAACATGTTTTGCGTCCTACTCCGTAGACAAAATTCGTTTTTGACTGTCAATATCTCGGTCATTTTCCTGAAATATATCTTTGAATTCGTGTTTAATACGGCTCGTTAAGCTTTAAACTGCCTTTGCCGGAGGAAGTTCCATGGAAAAGGGTTTACGTCAAATACTTTTAATAGTGCTTATATCGTGACCCTCAGTAGAGCAGTCGTAAAGGAGAAAACGCGCCAATCTGGTGGCGCGAGGTTCGATTCCTGATCTACTACCTCTCTCCTTCTTTATTTTACTTTATTTTTTTTTGGTTGTTGTTTTGTTTTTTAATATTTAAAAATAAAGTTTCCTTTCCCTATCGGCTTTTTCCCTTTCTTCTTACTTCTGGCGTTTAGCCTCTGCTTCGCGAGGCTCTGCGATTCACGTATTTCTAGTTATTATTATTAGCTATTATTAGTAGTAATAGTCTGTAGTAGTAGTGGCATGGTAGTAGTGAACAACAATCGCACTTGAAAAGTACACTTCCAAAAAAAGGCCAAACTCACTTAAAATTAAACCGTTTAACCTGCAAAACTCTGTCCTCCATTAAGGAGATGGAATGCCTTTGAATAAATTGAATTGAATGCGTTTAGTATTCACCTCTCCCTCCTTTTTTTCTCTAATACGATACTTGAAAAATAGAACATCCTTCTTCTAATTACCTGCTGTTGTGGTTGATGGCGATCCGGTCGGTATTTGTGTGTTGCAATTGTTCCCAGTGCAGCAGTCGATCTCACATTCCAACAAAGTCACTGATGTTTTTCTTTTCAAGTAACCACCAAGAGCAAAACAAGCCGCTTTTTTATCTGATTAAGAAATGTCACTTGGTTTTCTTAAGGTGGCGATAAGAATATAGACACTTACCGACGTAAACTGGCTCTCTGAAGTGGAAGATTTTAATGCAGCGTGAGCAGCAGAACTTCTCTTTGAAAGCAACAATATGAACAATACCACTTTTATGTAGCTTAACAGCCCATTTCCGAGTCCCCCCAGGCCTCTGTATCAAAACGAGGTTGGGTGCTCCAGATTTCTTGAGGAAATGAGTTTTATTTGCATGAGAATGAAAAATCATTTCCGTATCAAAGGTTGAGCACCTAACCTAGTTTTGATACAGAGACCCTGGGGAACTCGGAAATGGCCTATTTGAGTAATTTTCCCTTCTTTCATCCTTCCAAAAATCCTTAAGGAGATTCTGTCAGGAATGTTCTTAACTTTGGATGTGATCCTCGCTACCCTGGGTGCCAGAGACTTTTCATGCGCGGTTTCCGGTTTCGGTCGGCCGACACTCGGCGAAAGCTCCTCGTCGCACGCCAGAAAAAACCTCTGGTACCCAGGTTAGATCCTCGCAAGTTGCATAAGCAACCTAACGGATTGAAAGAGAACCTCGGAAACTAAAATTCTGGAAAGGTGGACAGCGCTATCAACTGGATAAATAAATATCCAGCGGATAACGCAATCAGTTTTCTTAATACTTATCCACTGGACAGCGATTTAGCCGTTGGATAGCGCTATCCCACTTTTGAACAACAGCGGCCTGACTTTTAATAAGTCGTTTTTAACTTTTTAAGTCCGATTTATGGGCAAATTCTTGTTAGGGCTTGTCCCTAACAAGAATTACACATGGGCAAATCACACAGCTGGTAAAGCGTGGCTTAAAAACTCGGCTCTACACTCTCGCCATTAGGGAAAAATACATGTTGCTCTAGTGTCCTAAAAATTGGCTCTTCAAAACGCCTTTAGGTGCTCGTTTTTGCAAATGTTGCCCTAAAGTCGGGGTTGGACAAAAAAGGTGAAAATCACCTGCTTTTAAGTTAACAAGCGAAAGTTCGAGAACAAAACTAATTGCAATTTTAACACTGTGAATACATGAAAAGTTCTATGACGTCAAACTGCTTAGTGACTTGATTCGACGATCTCGTTCCTAGGAGAGAGCCCTGGCCCTAAGCCTCAGTGTTGTGAAGACTGGCTGTTAACTTACCGGCGCAGTCAAAACATCCTCGATATGCCAAGTCCTTAACATTTCCGGAGCGATCCCGATAACTACCTACTACAGAGCCACAATGAGTCGTCCCAAGCGAACCAAAGCTTGGATTAAGGGAACAGGCTTGGGGAGGATCCTTGTTAGAGCAAGTATCCAAGCAATGAGTACATGTCGGTAGACCGGCAGCTGTGAGGAAAAAGTTCATATTATCTGACATATCAGCGAAAAGAGGCAAGTAATGAACCTTTCGACGAGCTCAGTTAGCTCAGTTTTTGGTGGTGAAGGATACTCAGTGTCTTCAAGACCACCTTCTTAAATTTAATTAATTTAGTTGGGAGAGACCTTTGACTTGACACTATTAATAAGTGGACCGGAGTACAAGCTGAGTTAAAATGACATTGCCCTTCATTTAACTATAAGGCTTCGTCATTTTTGAGCATTTTCACAGCCATTAAAATGCATCTTTCAGTCCTTTTGGGCCTTTTTATCCACTGAAATGGCAGATTTCCCTTTCTTTTCTCCCTTCGGGGCAGGGATCCTCTCTGCATAGGCTATAATAGGGGTCCCCCAGATCGAAACGCTTCATACACTACCTGCATCGTTACAGTTGTTACTTGTGCAACATTGGATATCACATGTCAGCAAGCGACCTCTCCTACGTGATTTAATGTAGCCACTTATAATTGCACAGGCTGTCTTTTTATCTGAAAACAATGAAGTCAGAAAT